GCAGGCAGTGCGGGGCAGCGCGGGCACGGCCTGCGGGGGGACAGCAGGGAGGACCGGGGGCAGCAAGGTGCACGAAGCAAGGGGCGAGGGAAGGAAGACCATGTGGCTCATCCCCGCTGGCTCCTTCCCTGGTCTCTGGGGATGCAGGGAAGAGCCTGGCCCTCAGCTCGCCATTTGCACACAGGGCATGAGAGGACCCAGGAGGAGGCCTGAGCCCCAGCAGAGCTCGGGAGGGATGGCAAGGGCCATGGGCCAGCCCTGTGCCCATGGGCAGCACCTGCTCTGTGCTGGGAATAAGAAGGGAAAAGACACCTCCGAGCAGCCCGGGGCAGGGAGAGGGAGCTGTGGGGAGAGCTCCCATGGGCGACTGCCCCAGGGACACTGTCCCAGGATATGGGGCACTGTGTGGGCATGGGGGAGCACGAGAAAAGCCAGGCTGCATAAAGCAGCAGGCTCTGGGTCAGGCCGGGGGTCCTGGCGTGGCTGGGACCCAGGATAACAGACCCATGGGAAGCGCTGGTCCCACGTGGGGCCAGCCCTGCTTCCCTGCTCCTCACACGGCTGCTGCACCGCGGCAGGAAGGGACAGGCTGCCCCCTGCCCTGCTCCCAGTGGCACTGCCGAGAAGGGCGTCTGCAGCGGCCCCTTCCCCACCCGGCTCATGCAGGGCTCTGGAGCCAGCTGGCCTCTCGTGGCCAACGGTGACAGGCGCCGGGCGCTTTACCTCTGACCTCCAGCTTGGCCTCGCACTGCTTCGTGCCATACTCGTTGACGGCCTTGCAGGTGTAGAAGCCGGTATCGGTGCGCTCCGCCGCCAGGATGTGCAGTGCAAAGAGCCCCCGGCCTCCCTCTGCCTCCTCCGCATGGTGCCGGCGTCCGTACTTCACTGGCTGACGGTTCCTCAGCCTGCCGGAGGGGACAAGCAGAGAGCAGGATGATCATCCTCATTCCTGCAGACCCAGCTCAGCGTTCCCCAAATGCCTCCATCTCCTCCAACCCTGCTCTGGACTGGAGCTCCCTCCCTGGGACTGCCCCAAGCTGGCAGTCCCCATGCCCGTGTATCCCCAGCCCAGCCGTGACCCAGCGAGCACAGAGACTCACCAGTAAATGATGGGCTTGGGCTCCCCACGGACACGGACACGCATGCTGACATCCTGCCCCTCTAGCACCGACTGGTCCGACAGGGCCACCTGGGGAAGCAGGGCATTAGAGAGCAGTGAGCACCATGCCCAGGGTCCATGTCCCCATCACTGCACCTAGGGCCACAGGTCCCCTGCCACGACAGTGGCCCTGGGGCATGCGGAGCCGACATGGAGCATGGTAGGCAGGAGCAATGCCCAGTAGGAAAGCCTGACGCAGTGTCTCTGGGCACAGGGACCATGTGGCTGCAGTCACAGGGTATGCCTTCTTTCTGCCAGGAGGTTCAACTCACCTCAAAGGTGGGTGCAGCCTTGAAGCTGCTCTCCGGGGAGCTGCGGGCAGCCCCGTGCTCTGCTCTGGGCTGCAGCTTCATGGCCGGCCGGTGCTGGGGCGTCCCGGAGTCAGGGAATTCTTCCAGGGGACTCAGGTACTCCTCATCCGACGTGATGGGGCTGACCTGGCCGAGGGGGGGGGCCAAGTTCCCATGCCTCTCCACAGCCGGAGCTAGCACAGGGAAGAGGCTGGATAAGCAGCTGGCACCAGGCAGAGAGAGGAAAGCAGAGCCATGGCCTCCTCCCTGCCACGCTGCGCTCTGGG